CGCAAAGCGTAGTCGATGTTGGTTTCAGGGGCAAATTTCCTTAGCAGATGAGTAGCAGCAAGGTGAGAGGCGATGGGGGTGGGAAAAGGTCATGTGTCAACACCAATTCCAATCATGATGTGTGACGATGTAAGGGATATTGTTGGTCCCGTTTAAGTATTGAAGCAGTCTAGAGGGGGAGTGAATAGACTGCTGTGATTTTTCAGATTTTTACTCTAAGTCAATACTGACTTATGAGAGGTGGTCCAAATCTGATGACAGAGATGGTCGAGTTCTGATGGCAGAACTAGACCAGGCAGCGGATTAAAGTCTATCTGGGTAGCCTCAAGAAAATACTAAGGCAAATGCCTTACTGATGACTCTTAGAACAAGATCTGCTGAACATAGATTCCAAGTTCTTTAGAGTTATACAGTTAGGGGGTGTTTGGATCTGATTCTCAAAACTGATTCTGCTCCTTCAAGGAGCAGAAGCAGAAGCTGGAGTGTTTGGGTGAAATTCCAGAAGCACTTCTGGTGCTCTAATTTACTCCCAGAATCAGTTTTTTTAGAAGCTGGGGGGTACCGGCTTCTGAAAACTGATTCTGATTCTGCTTCTGCTTTAAAAAAGAAGTAGAAGCAGAATCAGTTCCAAACACCCCCTTAAAGTCTTAAGTGCATAAATTAAAAGCAATAAAGTAAATGACACCGGGGATTTTTATAGTGGTTCAAGGAACAACGCGTTCCTCTAGTCCACTGTTCCACTTAAGCTTGTAAAACAACAGTTACAACGCCTTAGTCCCTAGAACTTAAGAAGCTCTCCACGTCTTCTTCAAGTCTAGTTGCCACCCGGGATGCAGTCCTGCTTCCTGATGGCTGGTCCTTTCACTGAGCTTCCCGGAAGTATACCCACTTCACTACTCCAGTTAATTGGGCGTCCTTCTTTGCAGAAGATGTTTGAAAAACAGAGTTTTTCTCCAACTTGCTTCGTCACAAAAGATATGTTGATGAAGTGCTTGAAGTTGTTGAAGAACTGGAGGAACTTTGCTCTTTGTTGGGGTTGAAGGATTTGAATAATCTGATCTTCCCAACGTAAGCTTTTTCTTGGAGTTGATTATGAAGTTTGAATCTCAAGAATGCTTTTTTGAGTTGTGTAGAGAGCAAAAGTTATCCCATTGTTCTTCATCGAGTATCTTCTATACTGGGTTGTCTACCCGTTGGAGGAGGAGACAACTGCATTGAATGCGCGTACTGTGGAGTTGACCAGTTGGACCCACATATTTGGCAGGTTTCTATTTTTGTATAATATTCTCCAGGAATCTCGGTCAATCATCTGCAATTACTCCACAACGTATCAGGCTCATTAAATGAGCATTAAATGCTTTCCTTTTGTGAAATATCTTCTAGCCGTTAGGGAATTTCCCGTTAGTTATACGGCCGTTGAAAGGTATCATCGAATTCTTCTAAGTGTTTGATGTCTGATGAGACTCTCTGATTAGCAGTTCTCAAGCTGGTCTCTGATGGTTCTCTGATAGCTATATGAGGGCAGCTCTGATGGTTTCTCTGAACAGCAGCTCTACAGGCAACTCTCATAGCCAGTTAAAGGAGCAACTCTGCTAGCACTTCTCATGGAGCAGTTCTCATAGCAGCTCTGATGCTTCTCTGAAGAGCAACTCTCATGGAGCAGTTCTCCTGGCAACTCTGATCAGAAGTACCAAGAGGATCTCTGGCCCGTCGACTATGCTAATACTTACAACGAAAAATTCTAATACAAAATTTCTATAAGGGGTACTTTAAGATTCTAATCTATCCTAGCATCATCAAAATCTAAGTACAATTATTCCTTACAATTTCCCCCCTTTTGATGATGCCAAAACCCTTGAACTATTTCCAGAGAAATGCCTTTCACCATAAGAGAAAATAAGTTAAAACCTTCATTTAAAATCTTGGTGGGCAACTTAGCATAGGAAAATTGCAAGAGTACGATACAATCAATCACAGCAGTAAACACATACTACAGTATCAGAGCACAAAATGAATCAGAAAGCAATAAGTAACAGATAATTTAAGATTGTCATGCAAAATAGAGGCAGAGTGGTTATCTTTATATAAGTACCAGAGTTCAAGAAAATACAAAGATAGAGGGATTAGAATTCTTCCTCTTCTAACCGTTTTTCAGCTTCTTCAGCCTTCTTGAGCGCTTCATTGACTCTAGCTCTGATGGTAGCCACGTTCCTTGGATTCTGATACTCAAACCAGTGAGGCTCAAGTTTGCAATCCAGATAATACTTGACTGCATCATGCTCATCCTTCCCTGGGATCACTCTCATCCGCCACCACTCTTCAACTTCTTCAATTGATCCACCATGAGCAATCATGATCAGACCATTTTGGTCGTGAATCAGGTTTTCTTGCTGCAGGGGAGTCATGTGCTTTTTCATTTCAGCAAATTGGATTGTGTCAGGTTTAGACATCCCACTGTTCAGCCATTGAGAGAGAGTGAGGGTAGATGCTTTCTTCTTCCCTTTCTTGGATCGGGGAGGAGGAGCTCTTTGGATCCCAATTGCAAGCCTTTTCTGCCTAGCTTGCTCAAAGTAGGCTGCAGGATCAGGAGTGATTGTCAGAGCTCTGGAGCTAGGGCCTTCTGCAGCTCTGGTGACTTCCCTAGTCTCTTCCCCCTTTTTGGCATCAACAAGATCACCAAGTAGGAGTCCGAGCTTGGAGAATTCTGAGGCATGGGAATCCTTCATTTTGTCCAGGGTCTCTGGTAGAGATTGGGTCACAGAAGTTAGCCCTTCAATCAGACCTTGTTGCTTGTCAATGGCAGATTGGATATTTTTAGTGTTTGCCTCCAAGAGAATAAGCTTCTGATATCTATCCTTATCAGCTTGGATCATCTTCAAGGCAAACTCCTTATTTGTCTTGCAGAGGTCCTCAGCATCAGTGATCTGCTCTTGAGTTTTGTCATGAGTCCACTGTAGGTTATCAACAGATTCTGAAATCTCCTTGATGGCCTTGTCCTGAGCATTGAGGACTTGCGAGTGATGGAAGAGAACAGCTTTGATGCTGTCTACTTCCTTAGAGATGCTATCTACCTTTTCAGTGGAGGTTTTCATGAAGGCATGCAGGGAGCTTGTCAGAGTAGCAACACTGGATGACAGCTTGACAATGTCTGACTCGAGATTATATTGAACAAGGTCTAGGTGAGCATCATGCTTCTGGTTGACCAGTATAATCTTGTTCATGCCTTCGATGACTTGGTCACCGAACTCTTCTGCAGATTGCACAAATAGATTGAAGGGACATGGTCCTTCTTCTCTGGGAGGCTCAGGCAAATGCATTCCACTGTCTTCAGGCATTTGAGGAATGGGAGATGGTGGAGGAGTTGGTGTCTTTCTCTTCTTGGATTGAAGATCAGCAGCCATGGAGGATGTGAGCAATCCATCATTGTCCTCAGATGAGGAGAAAATTCTAACAACAGGTTCTCTCTTGGGAGTGGAGGCAACAGAGTGTCAAGGAAGATATTTTGTATTGTTTAAAATTTAAATTGAAACTATGTCAACATTTCTTATATAACTATCCCAAAAAACCTTCTCATTACATTAATTAATAAAATATATATTGTTAAAATTATTCTCTTTTCTCTATACAAATATCATCATAGTTATTTAATTATTTTAGGCGAATATTCAGATTTAGCCAAATTACACAATAATAAGAAATACTTTGTATGTTCTTCATTTATTGTCTCGTATTCTTTTTGGGGCGTTTTTAATTATTTGCCATTTCTTTCATTTTTTAGTATGTTTTTTCAATAATATCTTGTTACCCCCACTCTTATTACGCTTACCTCTTTCCTTTTCCTACTTTATCATTTAAACGCAAACCACTACACCTTTTACATTACCCCTATTATTTTCTCCTTAAAACCCGAGTCAAAGCCTAGCTAAGGGGAGACTTACGACGTGTTTACTTCGCTGCTAAAGTCACAATTAAGTTAGTTAGACATGTGAAGTAAACACGCAAACTGTTTAAAAAACTGCTTACTAACCGAAAGAAGTGCTTAAAGTGCCGCTTACTAAGCATAACACCCACATGTATTAATTAGGCGGTACTTTAAGCTTTTCCAATTTCCGAATTTACGCTTACTCTTACCCCTTTGTTACCCCTACCCCCCAATTGCACACCTTGCCCCTTGACCCATACCCCTATCACGACCTTACCCCCTACCCTACCCACTAGGAGGGTGGACATCACCCCCTTCCTTGACTAGTGGGCTCATACCATATCCCCACCCATTAACCTTAATCCCTACCCCTAGGGTCGAGGTACGGGTTCTGATAGGGGTAAGGTGAGGGGTAGGTAGGGCAAGGGTGTACAGGGGGTGTGGCTGTGGTGGTAAGGGTGGGGTCGTGGTAGGGGTACACATGGTTAGGGGTTAAGGATTTGGTGGGTAGGGGCGGGCGGGATAGGGGGTCGGGGTAGGGTCAGGATAAGGGGTAGGGGTAAGGGTTACCGGTACGGGGGACCGTAGAGTCAGGTGGGCAGGAGTAGGTATGCATATGGGAAAGGGGTAAAGGGCAAGGTGTAGGTGTAGGATGAGAGTTAGGGGTAAGTACAAGCTTACGGGTAGGGGGTTGGGTCAGGGGTGGGTCGGGGTAGAGGGGGGTGGGTAGGGGATAGTGGTAGGCGTTAGATGCGTGTGGAGTGTCCCAACGCATTATTATATTATATATACTCGTGTACATGAATATTTGTGTGTCTATATATGTATAATGATAATTTGAATATTTTATTATTAAGTGGTGTTTTAAATATTTTGAGGTAAACATGAATTTACAACACTGTTATATTTATGCACCGTTTGTTAACATAAATTTTAATAAACAACATTTAGTAACCCTGAAATAAACACGTCCTTAATAAAGAACAGAGAGTATTAGGAAAAACATCCCACTTACTTTTCCAATTACATTAATATTTTAAGAAAAATATATCGCTGCTTTTCTAATTACTCCGATCAACCAAAATATTGCGTGGCACAACTGAAACATTAGGCATTAAGCACACACCTTCCTTCCCCATCTGCTCCACCATAGTCCGAACTCGGATTGTGGCTCAGCTCACACGGAATCAATCGGGTACCCGATTTCAACATTTCCGTAAATAAATAACCCCACCTAGACGATCTCCGATCAGAAACCTGAATTCGGTTCTGTTTGAGAGTTAACTCAGGAACAAGAGGATGCAAGCATTACGTGCCAGAGTATCATAATCAGATCTGAATTGAACTTAATTTTCACCAATACTATCATTTTATTGGACTTTCATTGGAGAGGATTGATGGCGTCTAGGAACAGGACAATCTTGTACAAGAAGTACAGAGATGCGTTAAAGAGTGTGCGAGTTCCGGCTGGATCGTCGCAATCGAGCTCCAGCGGCGGCGGTCCAGTAATTGAATTATCATCGACTTCATTACTTAACCCAAATCGCTCTTACGCTCCTCTCAGCACAGAAGATCCTGGAACTTCCAGGTACAGAAATGATACTCGTCTATGCAATGCTGCATAGATACGTCTGTATTTGGCACTTGTAGAACTCTACCCACTAATCCTGAACACTGTTGGTAAAAATTGCTAGGAGTGTATGTGTGAACCGGAGTCATCTTTTAATGCATCAGTATAGTTCTGGTGTGGATGTCATTGAACGATTTTATATGAAGGGCATGCTTTGAGTCGTATTGCTTAAGACATTTAGATAACATACAAATTCCGAACCCCAAGGACAAGGTGCACTGTGACCACAGCTGTTACTTGTTAGGCCAGTAAGAACAGTCTTTGTTTTTCATTTCAAACTTGTTTAACATAAGAAAGAAGAATCTGCCCTTTGTTGTTAGGCATCAGAGCATTCTGCTATGCATGCTAAATTTGTTTGAAATAATACTGAGGTGTAGAATAAATTAACAAATGACAACGACTCGTTGGTTTGTATAAGATGATTAAGTTTTGCTGTCTGGCTCACATTTCTCAGCACTGTTACCTTCTTATCTTTCATGCTTTCTCTCCTTACTGATATGTATACACAATGGCGGAAAGTGGTCTTATGCTTTCTGATTGTCTTGATGTCATTGTGTTCCACTGACAAACTGTCTGCCACTTGCATGGTTGAAAATTGAAATATTGCTCCTATGAAGTTATAATAACATCAGTTATTTATTCTACCAATAAGACAAATACTTGCATTTTAAGGCATATCATTCAGTGCAAATAATTTCAATTTTTACATCCATGAACTGTACTTCCAAGGGCAGATAACAATGCCACCTCTTGAAGCTCTTATGAACACCTACTAAATCAAGCCCGTTTAACAGACTTGGAATTAGGGATACTCATAGTCCTGTATTAATTTCTGAGAGCACAGGTTACAAGTTGTAGTAATACCATAATACTAACTAGAAGATCCATTTACCCTTACTGTACTACAAACCAAAAGAGAGACCCACTAACTACCCAAATTCATGCTAAGTCTATATTGGTGCGGTGGATGGTTAGATTGCTTAGTGTCTAACTTTTTCTTTCTCTGCAGTAGTGGTCTGGTTACAGTAGGTTTACCACCTGCATGGGTGGATGTATCTGAAGAAATAGCTGCTAATGTGCAACGAGTGAGAACAAAAATGGCTGAGCTAGCAAAGGCTCATGCGAAGGCCTTAATGCCATCATTTGGAGATGGTAAAGAGGATCAACATCGGATTGAAGGTCTTACCCATCAAATAACTGGTTTGTTGAAGACATCAGAAAAAATGTTACACCGGCTATCCAGGGCAGGACCTTCTGAAGACTCAAATGTCCGGAAAAATGTGCAGGTTTGACATTAATTGCCATTGTTTTGTTAATGTGATTTGTTGCTTGCAGCAAATATTAGGATGCTCTATATACCTTAATTTTGATCAATTTTTTTTTTTAAATAGTAATTTATCTTATAATGTTGGTCACCAGGCCTTATTTTAGGAAAATCTTATTCATTCAGTTGTCAAGTGAACCAACTATAACAGTTTGGGTTTAAAAAACACATAGCACTGTAGAGTCAACTTTTGTTTCATACTATTCAACCCTACATAATTGGCTGACAAATCTATAAACGAACAGTGGTAGAATGTTATCAACCCATTCCATCTAGGCATGAATTTTGGTTGTTGGCATGCATAGTCAATTATAGAATGCTTATCCTGCAGGAATTTGAACTTTTTTATTTGTAATGACGACAATATGTGCCATCATTTTGAAGAGAGTAAGTTTAAGAAAAACTCTGGTATGAAAGATTTCTGGTGTTACTAATAGAACATGATAAACTATAGAGTTAGCAAATATTTAGTTTTTTCGTACCAAAGCTATTGAGTATCGACTCTAATCAAAAGTATTGGAAGCAAAAGTGATACTGATCTGGAGTTCTCTAATGGTATGTTCTTCTTGGTATACGAAACATTCTAAGCTTCATCCCCATTTAGTGCAACTCCCAGACGTTGTGTCATCTGTCTGATACACAAAAGACCACACAAATAAGCTTTACACGCATATGAAATCACAAATGATTACCCTTTTGTATATTTTCTTACCCTAAATTTTCTTTATGACAGCGCTCTCTCGCAACAGATCTTCAAAATCTGTCAATGGAATTTCGCAGGAAACAGTCTACTTATTTGAAACAACTACGTCAACAAAAAGAGGTGAATGTCTTCTAGCATTTTCGAGATGACAATAAATAATTCAATTGAAGTTTGGGTTTGCGTGGTCTGGCATTCTCAATATAAAGACTGGAATTGGTTCATCAAGATTACCAATCTGTCTTCTCGTGTTTAGTCCGACTTGCATATGTTATCTAGTTATATGCCTGACCTCTCTTTTCTTAGTTTCCTATTTTGAAATATAGATTAACAATCCTATCCTAACACATTCCATTTCCTGTAGGCTCCAGATGGTGTTGATTTGGAGATGAATTTTAGTGAAAGTCACGATGATATGGATGAATTTGTATGTATATCTATTTCTGATACCCTTTTTAGTCATCTGCTTTTTTATCAAATGCTTGCTTACTGTGAATACTTACTTACCTATGAATCGGGGCTAATCTTTACTCATGATGGTGGATAACTACATACGGCCAACATTTGAATTCCTTGCTGTCAATGGTCTTAGGGATTTAATGAGCATCAAATGTCAAAATTAAAAAAAAGTGAGGCATTCACAGCAGAAAGGGAGAGGGAAATACAACAGGTAATTTGCATCAAACTGTCTTGCATCGTTGCTAATAATTTTTAGTAATAAATTATATATGGATATATCATATGTGTGTGTATATTTCTTTGATATGATAGGTTGTAGAATCAGTTAATGAACTTGCCCAAATTATGAAGGACTTGTCAGTTCTAGTGATTGACCAGGTTAGTAAATAATGATATACTGAATTTGTCATCATTCAGTAGAAGCTTCTGAACAAATTTCAGGTGATATGTTAACCAAATGTATATACATCTGAGCAGGGCTCCATCGTGGACAGGATAGATCATAATGTTCAGAATGTTGCTGCGACAGTTGAGGATGGTCTCAAACAGTTGCAAAAGGTTCTTATTGTCCTTTCCTTCTCCTTTCTCTCATCATTGAAGTTCACACAAATGGGCACACACAAAACACATTGTGGAAACACTATTTTGCTTCTCGTTTTTAGTTGGATATATAATGTTTGTGTTGGGGGTCAATGTTGAGTGCAGGCAGAGAGAAGCCAGAAGAAAGGAGGGATGGTTATGTGTGCCACAGTGCTAGTCATTATGTGTTTTGTAATGCTAGTCCTTTTAATTTTGAAGACAATACTTTTCTAATCTGTTATAAAATGGTTCTTATATTCTTTTTACCTTCATCTTGTACCGCGCCAGAGTATTTACCCACTTAACGTGTGGCCAATAGAAGAACTTCAAATTTTTGTTCCTTCATCAGTTACTTATTCTACTGCCCCTTGTTATCAGGGGAAGATATTGTGTTGAGCTGATTAATACAGCTCAAGAGGCCTTTGTATAGAAGAGAATTAAAGTGTAATATGTTGAATATTTTTTGGTAGCAAGGCATGATAGTATATATTTCTATTGATTCTTTTATCTCGTAGGGTTTTTGCTACTCTAAAACATTATCAAGTTTGGAGATGTTGGCTGTTGTTTATTACTCTTGAAGAAATTCATATTTCACGTCCTTTTTTGCACCTCTCATTTCCTCTGCGTGCTTATGTATTTTGGACGATGAACTTGAAACTATACTAAAGGACGTTGTATTAGAATGAGGACATGAGGTATTGCTATTTTTTGTATTAGCTCATAAAAGATCTCATGGAGAGGCATGAGCTTATGTCCGGTTTCACACTTTCACTTTCACCCCATATCAAAATAGATCATAATTAAATAAACTAGTCCAAATTAGTCAGACCAGATCAGCAGTTATAAAATAGACATATATTAGGTGGCTACTAGATCAGATCAAATCAGAAAATTGTAGTTCAATTGAAAACATCCATATTGAGCTACTTTTGGTCAATCTTTTGTGACAATTATTGTATTACGCAAATGACATAAATAGGGCTTTACACCTAGAAAAAAATTTGAGCCCAAAGTGTAACATCACAAACTAGGGATAGATTCGGGTCGACTGTCACTATTTCGGATCGGACTGAGTCATTTTTTGGTCCAAGGTCAAGACTGGCCGACTGGGTACTCGATCAGACGTGAAATATATGTTTAGGGTACTGCTACAATAACCTCATAAAATTTTAAATATCTCCCATGATTCTAATTAACACTCCATATAACTTATAAATGAGTTGATGTGAAATAGTTTATAGAAATTATAAATATGGCATGTTCTACACATGGGGTGTGAGATAGCACATTAACACATGTAGAAAGCTCAATGCAAAATGATTTTATACAAGTCAATCATACATTCATACGTATATTCTAATTCAAAACTATTTTCTTTGAACCTTTATTTTCTTTATAATACTGATTACGGGCATAATTTGATATCAACTACTCTAGAGTGTTTTTTCATATATTTATTGATAGAAATATTTGTATTGTATATATCTAAATATCTAATGATTCTGAATATTTTTCTAAAGCAGAATGTTGGACTATATGTCATCATAAAATCATAGACAATTAGAGCATCTCCAATGGGGATGTCTATTCTCTTACACACTCTTACAATTGGGTCCCATTTTTTATCTCACAAATTTTATGTGTAGGACCTACATATCTCCTTATTTATTTTCATTTTCATTTTTTTATATCACTTCTAACCCACTTTTCATCCACTTTTGCTCCTCGATTCCCGTGTAATGTCTATTTGTGGACATTGTCATAGACATTGTCTACAATTTACTCCTATCTCTCTCTTCCTTTTCATTTTTCTATACACACCACTTTCTCCATATTAAATTAAAATAATCATCCTATCTCTATCTCTCTCCTATGCCACGTAGGATAGACTTTACTCCAATCCACTACCCCATTGGAGATGCTCTTAGGGTGTGCCGGTGTGGAGATTTTCACCCCTTTGTAGAGTGAACAAAATTGATTCCGACACATTTTATATTCCTTCTAGTAGTGATAGATATTTAGTGCAACACCTCAAGTCTCTATTTATAGTAGTATTTAGACTCGACGTAGAATCATTAATGTACGATTTTAATGTTTTAATGAACTGTCATGTTTTTATTAGAGAATGAAAATTTGTTATTATCCCGAATTATAAGGATGATTTAATTAGTACTTGTAGGTTCTTACTAGGATATTACATCACGGCATTATCTATAATCAAGATAATCATACTTGTATGATTGATAAGTTTTCAAAACCACTAGGTCTTAACATAAGGTAAATTCCACATTAGCTTTGTGGGGATGGACAGATTGTAGGATTTGATTATAATTTATGTTAGAGTGATTCTATTATTTAAGATAAGTAGAAGAGTGTGTATTTACTTGCTAGAATGTGTATGAATTTAGGAAATTACTTTTTAAGAGTGATTTGAATGTAGAAATGTGAGCTAAATTGTGGGTTATGAGCGAGTCAACTTTTACTTATTTGCTCAATCCCTAGCTATTGAAATAAGTAAAAAGGAATAGCTTAGCTTGGTTTAGGGTAGGAGTGGACCCGGATCGGTACGACCGCCCAATCCCGACAACATTTTGATGAGGGCTGAGCCGGAACCCCTATTGTTCAGATACAAGGGCGATTCAGTCCTAAAAATGGCCACTTTTTAAAAATAGAATTAATAATGAAAGTTATATTTCACATACATGTGTATATTTATGTAGATTTTATTTATGTGTGCATACGTACCATTTAGGGAAAATCGCATATATGATCCCTCAGTTATCCACGAAATTAAAATCACAGACTTGTATTTTTGATATTGTAAATGTCACCCCTCAATTGTCCAAATTGGTGTAAATGTAGCCCTTTAAGTAATGAAATGTACTCTCGCGCCTCATTGTATATTTCACCCCTCAAAAGGACCACATTTACGGCATTTTGGACAATTGGGGTGACATTTACAATCTTAGTGATACAGATGTGAGATTTTAATTTCGTGAATAACTGAGGAACAATATATGAGATTTTAATTTCGTGGATAATTGTCCATGAGATTTTAATTTCGTGGACAATTGGGTGACATTTACAATTTTCCCTACCATTTATTTGTAGATTTTATGCCAAAGTGTCTGGCAGTGTAGAAGTTTGGTGTACACCAAAATTCAGTGTAAAACCATCTTTTTTGCAGGGTACCCGCTTCAACTCCTTCAGTCCGTTTGAACACTGGACAAAACACCAAACGACTGCCCTGGGACTCCTTCAACCGCGCCTGACGACTGTCGCGACCTTTGTTCATACTTCAGTTGCGCCACCAGAGCAGGTTGAAGCATTGGTGTTCGAACGTCCACAGCTCCGCGACCACAGTCGTCCGTGAACATAGCAACGTTAACAGCCGCCCCTTAAGGTAATCTAGGTCCTTTTTAATTATGATCTATAGTTGGCCTAATAAATTGTTGGATTGTTATCAACTTTTGTTGTAAATGTTGTTCAAGTAAGTATGAAGTGTAGATAAGGCGTTTGAATAAATGTTTTAAAAAGTTTATTTGAAGTAGTTTTATACCAACTCCATTCCACTCCACTTTGACAAGTCAATGTTGGGTGTGAAATTAGAATAGTAAAAATTATGTGATTGAGTTTTGTGCAAATGAGAAAGTATCACTTTAAAATGAAAGTGACCGTTTTTGTGACAAACAAAAAAGGAAAGTTGGCAAAGTACACGGGATGGAGGGAGTATCTTTTTAATGTGTATGTGAATTGTAGATAAGATGTTTAGTAAAATGTCTAGTGTATGTGTTTAGTATATGTGAACTGTAGATAAAGTGTTAGATAAAATGTTTGAGAGGGTATGTAAAGTAGTTGAATTAAGCAATAAATATGAATGCAGTGTTATTTAGTGATATTGTATTGAGCAATCTAGTATGACTGATTACAGTGATTGGAAGTAGTATTGTTTTTAGAGAAGTTTAGTGTTAACCGAACCTAAAATGGTCTTAGGGTAGGTGTATCCAATTAGTGTTGGCCGAAGCCAAAATGGTACCTAGTAGGGGTAAAATGGTATTTTGGCTCCCCGATAAACTTGAGCAATTGTGTCCGCGGTCGCCCGAGCAGGGGTGCCGATTTTGGGTTTTTACTAAATGTTCGGTATATATAAAGAGTGTAAAAGTTGCTCATCAAACTAGCGTGGGAAATAAGTAAAGTTTTATTCATTTGAAATATCATCAGTTTTCCAACAACGGGGTACAACAAACGTTATAAACTGAAAGAAGTAAAGTTTTATTCATTTGAAATACCTTCTTTTTTTCAACAAAGGGTACACCAAACGTTATAAACTGAAAGAAGTAAAGTTTTATTCATTTTAAATACCTTCGTTTTTTCCAACAAAGGGTACATCAAACGTTATAAACTTCCTATGCAATTGCAAAAACAATAATCCCCTTTCTAGTAGCTTTTTTTACATGCAGAGAAAGAATCTATATTCTCCAAGCAATAGTTGAGTTAATAGTATAAATTGGGAGTTGGAAATATGAGTTATTAGTATAAAAATCTTGTTTGTTATGTACTTCGTATTAATTAATAATCAGAATTTCTCGCCTTAATTTTTTCCCTAGTTCTCTTTAATTTACTACTTGTTTCATAACCAAAACGTGTTGTTGAAACTCTAAGTTATACTCTTCTTCCCTTCTATTCTTATACTAAAGCTACACACCCATCACCAAAACCTTAATTGAGTCAAGGATTTAAGGCTGCATTCAAATAGACATTAAGGTCTCATTTTGTGCTATCTATGGGTTGCTTCAACTAGTAGTAATATATTCCGTATTAATGTATTATTGTTCAATTTTTCCAATAATTTCTCTATTTGGCACTATATGTTGCATTTCCCCATTTAGTAAGTAATGATTCACATATCATCATTTTCATTTACCCCAGTGCCGCAAAGGCTCCCACTTATGGTGGGGTAAGGGGGTAAGATGTACGCAGTCTTACCTCTGTACTAAAGCACAAAGAGACTGTTTCCGGATGACCCATAGTGAAAATCGCGTCCAAAATTGCATGGGCTGACTGCTACTTCATAACAAAGAAGCGCAGAGCCGCAGACAGTTTAGTGATCCATTTTTCTTTATTCCATCATATTCTCAAGCCAAAAAATAATGAATCTTTGGCTCCATTGCAAATGATGGAATAAGTAATGATTCACATATACCGCAGTAATTTCTTCTTTCACTTTTCAGTATAGAACTTGTGATTATTGGGCTTGAGCTTTCGGAAAATGAGGGAACTGGTGACAATCCAAGTAGGAGGCTATGCAAACTTCATTGGTTCTCACTTCTGGAACTTCCAGGTTCGTTTTTTCTTTTTGTCTTTCATTATTTCTTCAACACTTAAATGGTAATGGAGTGCATCTATTTCCTTCTACATCACCTTTCGCCTTTCGCATTACAAACTGTTGTGTAACGGAAAAATAAAATCAACGGGGTGAACCGTTGCCCAGATAATCAACGATAAAAATACCGTTGCCCAGAGCCAAAAGGCTAAACTCCAACTTTATTCATAGATGAGCAAGAATGAATCCTAACAAGGGGTTTAAATACACATCTACT